TTGATTCTTTCCTACCCTGCTGTCCTCCCTTCACCTAAATATGCAGACGGCATGAGGAAGCGTATTTCATTGGAGGCAAAGTGTGTAAGCGGTCACCCGTGCTGGGCGAATACCCATGTGAAGGTCCCATTCATCTGCTCGCTTCTATTCAAAGAGGCTTTTGAAAAGCTGTTTTTTTTTTATGACTACACTTGCAGTGCTTCACTTCGTTTCTGAGCTCGGTTACCTTTTGATCCTATCAACTCTGCTACAATTCTTTTTTTCTTTCCACCCCCATCCCGCACGTCAGCTTCGGCATGACGGAGATTGCTCTTTGACAGAGGATCGTGTACCTTCTGTGTTTAAAAAAAAAAAAAAAAAAAAAAAGAGCATGCCCCCCTGCTGCGGGGTTTAAAAATGCTCTGAGACTGGTAATCCTGCATAAGGCCCTGTGTTGGAATGCCAGCTATGGGATGTCATTTGTTACTCATATAGCTAAATGTGTTCAAACAAAAATTTCCCGAATAGCTCAGTGCAGTGCTAAACCACTGTGAAAACAGTATTTACAAAAAAAAGCAGTCACTGTAGAGTATTTTCATAGAACAGGTGTTCGGTCAAGTTAATCGGAAGCCGACTGGAATTTAGTTCCTCAGCTCCAAGCACTTCCTTATTAAGACAATAGTGAGAGTTGACATGAAGAGGATGGAAGGTCAGCCTTCGAAAAATAATTAGATGAAAATGAAACCGTGTGAATGTGCCGAACTGACACAAATTCTGATGATGCTCGCATTCAATTGTTGCCGGGGATTTGACTCTCTGTCGGACGTCGCGTTCTCTGCCCGATGACCTGTTTGCTGGATTTGTTTTTATTTTCTTTGTGCACTTTCAGCCAGCTTAGGGTTGAGAACAATAGAGCCATGGTAGCGGCTTACCCATGGAAGACAACCAGATTCGAACGTTTTTATCCGCAGTTATTCCACTTTCTGCCCATCCTGCGTTTTAGCCCAAATGCTCTTTTGTTTTCATATTTTGATGAGTGCTGATGCGATACAGTGGAACCTTGCTTCGCAAATTGAGAAATGCAATTCACTCATCCGACCTTCGAACAAAGTTCGGTGTAACTAGTTTTTATCGATATGTAGTGAGAAATAAAAACGGTGCAATATAGGAATGAATGAAAACAGACTTTATTGTGGAGGAATAACACAGCTTGTTGATCATTTTAAAAAATAGACATAAATACCTAAAATATGTGAAGCACAAAGCCGTGCAGCGTGAGAAAAAGCACAGATTTCCGCCACCATTTCCAAACTTTTCCTGAACCAAAAATAGTCCATGAACCGATGTATTTTTTTGTTAATCGAATCTTAGTTTTTAAACTAAATTGCAAATAAAGTGTGACATCATAAAGTGTGACATTTGTAAACCAGAGCTCCATTGTATTTGGGTTTCGGTTCTCTCCTCCTGCCTCGTCGCCGGATGAACTTTTACAAACACATCATTTCCCCCCAAGTGCAGAGTTGCCCAACATTTTTTGACCCCAAATCTACTTTTCAAACTTAAAGCAAAGAAATGCATCCAGAAATTGAAAGGAACTGGTTGTTAACAGCATCGTTTTGGATGACTTCTGAACAGCTGCTCATACCTTACCGTCAAATCCAAGGTAATGGCCAACAGATAAATTGTTGTCTGCCATGTGACTTGATCATTTCTGCCTAAATTGAATCAGAGGCATCTCAAAAACCAAATTTTGGTTTGGTTTGTATATCCGACCTCAGGATATGATATCCAGCTGAAGTAGTACATGTCGGCATGTTGTTTTTGGCATTTACCATCGAACTGGCAAGTATTGTCCCTCCTCCTCAATGAATTTGTCAACCGCACAGAGAAACTTTACCTCCGGATTACCTCATAGCTTCTACATGGTGTTATGTTTGGTGAACGCCGCAAGCGAGAGCCGAACACACACACAGGTCACACAATGTTCTCGCCAGCCCACAAAGTGGAAAATGAAACATTGCTGACTATCGCTCCATCCCAAGATCTTGAAGACTCATCAGAGTCGAACAATGCAGCCCTGATTTTGCTGTCTTGCTTAAAAATATGATTGCTGTTTCGACTGCACTAAATGAAACCAGGGAGCCGTTGATTATGTTGCATGGACCCAAATTTGTCAGTTTATGCAGTTTGCTTTACGCGTGTGCTCGTAGGATAACTCTCCATTGTCTGTGCATCGGCACTCTTGGTCACCCAGGCTGTGGGACGCTCCATGTTGCGTAAGAAGCGTAATGCGTGCCTGTATGTTGCTTTGTGCAAACCCTGTAATCTCCCTGTGCCCGGAGCCATAATGGCGGTGGGCAAATCAAAAGCCTCGGCCGGCTCAAAGCCCTCGCCGATTGGCCCAAGCGGCAATGTGGCGGAAGGAGACATCATAGTAACCAAGTTAAAGCGCTCACATGGCCAGGGTGACATCAGTCGCGGTTGCTGCCTCACATGTAAACATGCTGATGCGGTTCGCGTCCCTAAAAATAGTTGTGTTGCCTACAGTTTGTGAAGAATATGAGCGGGATGTGTCACATCTGGTGCGAGGCTCTCATTGGTCCTGCGAGGCTCCAGAAAAGAAGCTGTGCTGTTTGAGCATTATATCTAATGAAGGGACTCATCATAAGCTCTCTGGAACTAATGAATATTCAAGCAGAACGATGTGATGGAATGAAAGCAATTAATCCAGCATATTTAAAGACTCACATGCAGTTTGATTTTCTGAAAGCATACTGACTGTTATGGGGGGGTTGTTGTTTTTTTTTTTTTTTGTTGTTTTTTGGGCTGAAATGGAAGTAGCGCTAAGACTGAGGCTGCGTTATGTTCTCTTTCTGCATTTTATTGTTTCCTAGAGTCACTTCAGAGGTGAATCTTGCACAGGTGTCCTATCCTTACAACACCACATGAAGGTGCGAGCAATTGGTGAACAGGATCTGACACTTATTTTTCGTGGCAAATACTCAAAATGATGCCATGCTCTTCCCACATAAAATGGTGTAAGCAAAAAAATTTCAATTGTGACTCATTTGGGCAAATTCACTCATGGGAGTTAAAGCCTGAGGCCTAGTACTCCTTAAAAATGGCTACTCCAAACCCAAAATGGCCTTCATTTTCAAAGAAGGTGTTTTGTGTCATGCAGGACATTGGTTTGAAATTCTGGAGGGTACTGTGACTTAAGTGTGTTTTTTTTTTCTCTTGACTTCTACGACTTAGGGGGCTTTGGAAGCTGATTCATCACTCAGAATTATGGACCGACCACTCAGTTCATTACTGAGGCTTTGCTAAGTTGTTTGCTGGAATCCGCAAACCGAAAGTAAAAGAAAGTTCTTGCCTGAGCAGCTCTATTAAAGCGTTTGTTTGGGTGAAGGTCACTCAAGTGTAAGCGCTGCCTGCTACAGTATCGGGATCCACTTTTGTTTTTACAAGCCTATTGGAGAGCATTCATTTTTAATCAGGCAGATATGTTTTTGTTTTGTTTTTCAATGACCTGTCTTCGTGGGAGTGTACGGGAGGCATCATCTCGTAGCGATGGCCGCTTAAAAGACTCAGTTGCAATGATTACACGTCACTCATCTCAAACCCAATCCCTGCTGGGAAAACGTACAATGGTATTTTTACGAGCCAATGAAATACGCTCCCTGAGAACGTGGAATGGCGGAAGCGTAATGCTGCCCATAAGTGTGTATTTGTGTGCCAAACTTCATAATTAGAGGTTCTGTTGTGTTGACATAATGTAGTACAGTAGTACAGACACTATACCAGACTGTAATCATGGATGAAGTAATCGCTAATTATATTTCATAGGGCGTGCCTCCCTTGCAGGAGGCTGCCATGTTTCGCCACCATCTTTCTGGTCCGAATACCCGAAGGCTACAAACTTAGCAAGCGTAGTTCCTCAACATCGTGACTACATCGTGTGTAACAAATGCCAAGCAGTTACTTTGTCACGTGGGGAATACTAAAAGTCGTTTGTGATATTTTGGTTGCACCTCTGTAGAAGAAATTCGCGGTAGAATTGCAACGTTTGGTCTCTCTGTGGCACCGTAGTGCGCATGATTCAAAATGCATGTGCTTCCCGGTTAGGTCTTTGCATTCTCTTATTGCACCACTAGATGGTGCTAAATTCTACACACTGTACCGTTAAACAGTGGAAAAGATTTCTTTATTTTTTTTTGCTAATATGGCTTGAATCATAAACCAAGATGTAGCTTGTGTTTCGACTGTGGAATGGTGACAGATTCATCACCTACGCCAATGGTGTTACTCACGATACAGAGATGGACCCAGTGCAACAAGTGAGAAAAAAAAACATTAACATGATGTAGCATACAAAAAAATGTTTGAGGGGGGAAAAAATGCGTTAGCTGTAAGTAATCGCTTTCCACCACAAAGCTCAGTCTATTCACAGAGGTTCACGGTGTCTCTTAAAAGTTGACTGACAAAGATTCAAGGCCATTCACTATTACATCTGCAGTGAAACTCATCGTTTGGTTCATCTTTTTTTTTAAATATTAAATACAGTATGTACTTCAGCAGTATAATAAATAATTGGAAGATCCCCAGAGGTTTTCTGAACATGCATTTTGAGTTGATTTATGTTTCCAGTATTGCAAATCTAGCCAGAAAAAATGTGTACTATTCCACGGTGAACTGAATTGTACAGTTTTGTGGTAGCATTGCTCTCGTTTGTGATGCAACAAGACCTGTGCTCTACCCAGAACAAAATATAATTTTGTAAAGCAGCACTATAATGGACAAATGTTGAAAAGCTAAACTTTTTTTAGGGGGGTAACGCGATTTTGGCTAAATGTTGATCCAGAAAGAAACTCAGACATTGCACAGAATCAACATCAGATCTCTTTTGTGACCGTAATCTGATGATGTGAAGAAGCAACAGGGTTCCGTGTGATAATGCACCTTTATCCAACCAGCATGTTTTGCATCGCTGAAAATCTTTCTGTCTCTGTTGTGTCTTCCAGCTGGATCCTCAGACAGTGCAGTCCAAGAACTGGCACATGGACGTCATTGAGATGAACGGGGTAAGATGTGACATGTCAAGCAAAATCGCTTTTGGTAGATTTTCTGAAAGCCAATCCGTCTCCCGATATCGTTAAGTCTGGAGCGGTGTTTTAGCAGTAGACTAAAAGCCTCAAATATTAAATTAACTTGACTGACTGCAAAACATTTGGGTCACGGGGGCCAAGCCGTGGGCGCTTGCATACTTTGAATTTACTTGACATTTTTCTTCTTCTTTTTTTTTTGGTCTTCAGATAAAGGTGGAATTCTCAATGAAGTTTACAAGTAGGGACCTGAGCTTGAAGAGGACGCCATCCAAAAAACAGAGTGGTGTGTTTGGAGTGAAAATCAACGTGGTCACTAAGTACGTACCGCATATGTCTGTTTATTCAAATGAAAATGTCTTTTAACCTTTTGGAGTGACCCCTTTTCTGATCGATGAGGCTCATCACGATGACTTGGTGCAATAATGGAGGAAAGGTCCAGTTCCTCCGAATGTCCGATGAGAAACTTAAACGCTCTTCCGCTTAAACCAAAACTCTGTCGTGTATATCACGCAATCCAACAATTTGCGCTCTCCCTCCCGTCGCAACTACAACAAATAACCCCGTCCCCCGCAACCCCTCCGTTTAAAACTGTACTTAAGTCATTCTGTACCAGCCAAGTCTGAAAAGACGTTTAAAAACGTCTTTGGGAGTGAATGAGTTAAGGTGTCGTTTTCCAGCTGTGTCACGTAAGAAATGGCCAAAATGGCGACAGCAATCGTCAAGATGTGTGCAATGACGTGTGCTGACGTTTGCAGGCGCGAGCGCTCCAAGGTGCCTTACATCGTCCGCCAGTGCATTGAGGAAGTGGAGAAGAGGGGCATCGACGAGGTGGGAATCTACAGGATCTCAGGGGTGGCCACGGACATCCAGGCCCTCAAAACGGCATTTGATACTAGTAAGAAGTCTCTCTCTCTCTCTCTCTCTCTCTCTCTCTCACTCTCTGTCTCTCGTCTGATTTTATTTTAACGACAAAGATGTAATCTACTCAAAAATATTCTTGACAGCACTATATTCTCTGTGTCCCCACGAGTCTAAACATAGTTTTCTGTAGAGTATGATTTAAGCAGAAAAATCATTCTGCCACGTACTCTCACTTGCCGTCGACTGAAAATGACATCACAGTGCCTAAGGGCTCTGCTTGCCAATGTCACATGACCAAACCCAGAAAACAGGTGAGTCGTGACAGTTACCTGCGCTTTTAGACAATGTGATGTCATTTTCAGTCGACAGAAAACTCTTTGTAGACTAGTGGGGGCGCAGAGAACATATGTTTTTCGAGAAAAATTTGGACTTGACGGCCCCTTTAAGTCACACGCCTGTAAAATGAGCTCAATACGCCTCTCAATGAGTATATGACCTTCACTTCTATTTTCTACAGCATCAGTTTACAACATTAGATGCTTCATGTAGTTTTTTTTCGTCGTGAGACCGAGTGACTGTTCTTTACCTACACAACTTCCTTTCATCAAAACAGAAGTGTTTGTTTGGAAATGTTGGCCAGGTGGGGAAATGGTACTAAACCGTGTTGCGATTTCTACGAAATGGTAGGACTGAAGTTGTGTATTATGTAAGCGCCTCCTCACATCATTTTACATCACCGAGCGCCAAGTGTCGTCTTTCATTTTAGTGTGCCCTTATTGAGCTCGCCTGCATGAGTTGCCGCCCAGGCATTTTTGAGAGGTGATATCATCCCTCGAGAGTACACAAAGCAGCTCTTGTTGTCGGGAGTTTTGGGGCTGAGTTTGTAACTGGGCCTGGCTGACCCCTAGATACCAAAGACATCCTGGTGATGCTGAGTGACATGGACATCAACGCCATCGCGGGAACCCTCAAGCTGTACTTCAGGGAGCTGCCGGAACCTTTGCTCACCGACCGCCTGTACCCGGCCTTTATGGAGGGAATATGTGAGACAGGTTTTCACCTCTGCGCGGGACCTTTGAGCTGGACACAACCGGATGTGATGTGTTTGTTCTCTCGTCTGTTCTGCAGCTCTGTCCGACCCCGCAGCCAAGGAAAACTGCATGATGCACCTCCTACGCTCGCTGCCCGACCCCAACATCATGACCTTCCTCACTCTGCTGGAGCACCTCAAACGGTACATTCTCTTCACCCCCTTTTCCCCCATTGATTGTATATTGACCATTGCACGCGATGCACCTCTCACAGTACAGAAGTCACAAGTGCATTTTTACGCAACAAGAATGACTCAGATGAAGCCAGTCATTTTCACCATTCTCTGGGCGCTGCCATTTTGTTCCATCTCGCCTTCTGCTGTTGAGCTAAATTGACATCAAAGTGTCCTCAGACTTGTAAACGTCACATTACTGAACTCAGAAAACAGGTGAGCCGGGTTGCGAGCCTGAGGGCACTTTGACATCAATTTCAGTCGACAACAGAGCAGTTCAGGACAAAATGGCAGCGCGGCGAGATTGATGAAAATGGATTGATTAATCTGCTTAATTTCTTAACCTGCAAACACAAACAGAATATGGTGGTTTGATGTGTGAGGGCACATAGAATATTGCAAACACAAGTTTTGCCATTAGTTCACCTTAAAAAGCAAACAAAATAAAAAAAAAGCAGGTAAATGGATAATCGTACCGTAAATGGCGTTGAAAAAAATGCTATCATTACTTGGTTGCCATCATAAAGAGACTTCATACCATTTAATGGTAGTTTGTTGCCATACGGTGATCATATTTAACAGCCATCTTTTTGTTTGTCTTGGTAAAGTCTGATATTTGATCTAGCTCTTGTACCAGATCTCACTGGACCGTATAAGTGACCCTAATATTTTGGCTGTTTTTCTGAACGCTCGCCTCGTTTGACTCCACAGGGTGGCGGAGAAGGAGCCCCTGAACAAGATGTCCCTCCATAACCTGGCCACAGTATTTGGCCCCACTCTACTCAGACCCTCAGAGTCCGAGAGCACCAAGGGACAAAATATTACCTCTGTGTCTGATATCTGGTCACATGACGTTATGGCACAGGTAATCCCCACGTGCACGTCAAGCTCCGCCGTGTGTTTCTCTCTTTGCATCGTAACAGCAACAGCTGCAGTAAAAAGAGCTCGCTCGTGATTGCTTATTCGTTGAATTCACCAATTATGTATCATAGGAATCCACCAGTGAGCACAGGGAGCCGTTGGTTTACGATACTGCCGTAAGATTTCTGCGTGAATACAATCTGATAATGTGTCACCACACGTCAAAAAAGGCCTGCTCAGCTACTGCTGTGCATATTGTTTTTCATTTGATTGAAGTCCCCCCACCCCCCACCCCACCCGTCACTGCATAGCGATTCAGTACCACGCCACATTTCCACTTAAGTGCAAATCGGGTTACATTGTCGTCATTGGAACAGCAATCCGTCATAAATTCTGCCGTTATGGTCATAATCAAAGCTGGAACTTGCGATTCCATGCACTCGCTGTTTGATGGGTTCTTGCCTAAAAATAAGCTTGGTCACTATACTAAGTTTCCAAATTAATTTCCCGTCCACAAAGTTTTAGTGTGTCTCGGGGCCATGCTGCTATCTGCATCAGTTTCCTGTTTATTCATGTCATTTTGTGACCCCAAAAAGATCCGAAATTGAGTAAATATCCTAAAATAGTATCGCATGCACAGTGAAAACCTCATCGATCTGTTCCAGGAAGTCAGTGTTTGTCTTGGAGCTTACTTGAGGGTTTTGTGAGTTTTTTTTTTTTTTTTAAAGAAGCGAACAAAACGACTGGATGTTAGCTCAAACTGGCACATAAGTGAAGCGCAGTCCTCTCTGGAGTCCCATAATGTAATAAACGGAGAAGTAAAGTGCATATTGCACATTCCATTATTTCGAATTGTCCTGGTTCTCCTTGCAGCACAAAATCAAACAGTAAATCAAATGAGGTCATGATCTGTAGCGAAAAAAAAATATGATGCTGCAGAACTTGCAATCAATCAAACCCCGTTCCGATTTTATTGTGTGTTTGTCCAGGTGCAAGTGCTTCTCTACTACCTGCAGCATCCTCCAATCTCCTTTGCTGAGCTCAAGCGGAACACGCTCTACTTCTCCACCGACGTTTAAGCCCATCTTCGCCTCTGTCGGACCGGAGAATGAGAGACTGTGTATGAGTCCCGGTCCTCTTACCTCGCCTCTCCTGCAAGCGGGCATCTCGTCTTGACTGTACAGCACCCACAATCCCATACCCTTAACTCTGCGCAGCCCCCCCCCCCCGCCCCGGTTAGAAAGGTGGTGACGTTTTGTGGTCTTCTCGATATAAAGTTACCAGTCTGGGGGAGTGGGGGGGTCGCTCTGGTTCAGTTTGGTGGGAGAGGAGGGGTTTCGGAGGCCACAGCCTGGCGCCGTGGCACATGATCAAGCCCGGGGACGTGGCATCGAGCTTTGTCCCCTGCTCAGAGGCATTCCACAACAACCGCATTTATGTTTTATAATAATTTAGTCGTTTCCTTTTGCTGTCTTTCTGGCTTTGTGCATGTGGAGGAGGAGGAGGAGGAGACGTGTGTCTGCCAGTGTGCGTGTGTGCGAGCGAATGTGCAGGACTGCAAGGAATGAATGGCTAGCAAGAGTGTCCTTTTCTTAAACAGACATTCCCTCCCCACTGATTCTTGGCCAGATTAGCCCTATTTATTTTAAATATCTATATATATAAATATCTGTGCCTGTACAGTTCTGTGCAACTAGAGAGATGCTCTAAGGAGTCTGTTTTTGAAGTCTATTCAGGTTGTGATGTTATTTTTTAGTCCGATTTTTCTCACTCACCATATTCATGGTTGGCAAATTGTACAGAAATATTCACCGCAGAAGCTCTGCCACTTTGTTACCCACCACTTTGTAGAGGAAAAAGTGAGCTTAGTTGGGACTCAATAGGGGGTAAAAACAATGAATGAAACCTCTTGCTTTTTTTTTTTTTATTCTTCTTCGTGTTGCATTACAAGCCTGTTCCAAGCATCTCACTGCACCGGTATAATCAATAGGAAGATTTGCTAGTTGCCCTTATTGCATGTTCAGCTCGTAAATGAAATCAGGCTAAGAAACTCAAAGATAGGTTGTGTGAGCGAAAGCCCTTTTATGCTCTGTACAAAGCCAACCTTTCTGTTGTCAGGTCTGCAACATGTTGAAAAATTCCTGCAAAAACTGAGAGTAAGACTATTTGGTATTTTTCATAATAAAAATTTTAAAATGTTGTATTTTACTTACTTTGCGAAGAATTTAAGTATGCTGTACTGTAATTTTGAGGATAAATGTAAATGTGAAAGTTTTCCCCTTTTTCTAATGAAATAAAAGACAAACAAACTCATTTTGTGATTATGATTGACAGTTATTTACCAACGTAGCGTGGATCCCAAACTAAATAAAAAAAAAAAATCAACATGGCATTTTGTCACGAATGACTTGTGGCAAGTTGTCATGTTGAAATGGAAGTAACACCTGCTAGTTTTCTGACATGTATTTGTTGTCAAAACGAAGTGGTTTGCTATACCTCACACTGGCCATAAATAAAACGAGACGTTTAATTCTATATGGTCATCTACAGTATTCATTTTCTACCGCTTATCCTTGTCAGGGCCAAGGGTGAGCTACAACTTGGATTGGTCGCCACACATAGACAACCATTCACACATTCTGAATATTCATATTCCAGTTGAACAGATGCCAGTAAATCTCAAACATTTTAGGGTAATTACGATAGAAAACAACTCACTTTTAACAGCACTTTTAAAAATGGCAGCACTGTAAAGTGGAACAAAATAGAAAATATTTATCCTTTGAAAGAAGTCATTCCAGATGTGCAAACAATATAATGCCAGCAAAAACTTTTAGTTACCTCACATTGATAATCAAATCTGTCCAGTTCAGAGCCATCCTTTCTTTTACAATATTTTGCAAATGATTAATCCCCAAAATGTGCCTTTTGAACACCCCTCCATCATCCATGCAAATTATATTCCAGGGCTTCTCAAACTCAGGTGCTGAGGGCCTCTATAAACAGTAACTTGGGGTTCAAATCTTATTTAACTACGTGCAAATCTGGACCAGCGTGGCCAACGTTTCCATATTATTTTTCCTCTCTAACCTACACAAACATCACCCTCTTCTGATCAAACTCACACAGTGCTGCTGCGTCAACGAGGCGCGCAAAATTCTGCAGTCAACCTTTCTATCATGCGGGTACATACAGTATTGAAAACGGCCACAAATTACAGTACTGCTGAAAGTGGTATCTTAAAGCACATTGAAATGCGATGCGTTTGCGTTCATGATAATGCATAGTTTTTTCGCAGAAACTAAATGAAAAATAGTAAGACAATATAACACACTGCATAGTCAATTCACAAAACTAAATATTCCACTTTTCCTTTTGCTCTGTTTTTATGATCAACTGCATTCCAGACGGGATTAACGCTTAAAAAAATTCTAAAAATGTATTATTATTGCACACAAATTAGACAAATCAAAAGTCCCTATTCACTTAACACCACCTCTATTACGTCCTATGACATTGGACATTGCATTTTATTGGTGTATGAAGAACAAAGCCATGTCTCCTTGAGCGGGTGCAAGTTGCAAACCCATTGCTCATGGAGGTAAGCTTTGCCAAATACATGTATCGGTCTCGAGCACTCCGGTAATTTCTCCTTTGTAAGGATATTGACTGGCAACCGGTCCTATTCCAGCTGCCTGAAAACAGCTGGGATAGGCTACAGCAGCCACGCGACCTACGTAAGGATATGCGAGTCAGATGATGGGTGGATGGATGAATGGATGGATGGATAAAAGTGTTTTTTTATGCAGCTAACTCACGTTCATGTGATCATTTGTCACAGATTTACTAAATCCGGTTTACATTGGCCCAAACTAAAGGAAGGAGGAATAATTGGTTCATGATCTCTGTTGAATTGGGCCAGTCTGCACTTAAAGCAAAACAAACAAATACGATAGAACATATTTTTTTGCAAATTATTTTTCAGAGCCTCAAGCTACAGCGCTTGTACTGTAAATGCGAAGCAAAGAATGACCCTCTTCTAACTACATTTCCCACAATGCTCATGTTCCAGGATCCCGGAAGTTGGACGTTTATTGACAACATGGCTGCTGATCTGGCTGTCGCTTTGACGAAAATTGGAATTTGACAGCGTTCACCGGGTGTACACACGCACACCATTTCCATGTGTTGATTGTACAGTGGGCATTTATTCGAATGACGGGACCTGCCAACTCACGGGATGGTGTCAGTGAGCTGAGGAAACGTTCCGAGTGATCCCGTCATGTCGTTTTTCAAGCGGAAAGGTGAGGAAGCATTCTCAGCTGCAACGTCAACTGTAGCAAGCTACTTGGAAGAGAAAGCGAGGGAGAAAACGGCCCATTAACTTATATCTTATGTCAATTTCACCAAGTGTAATATTTTGTCACAAGATAATGGTTCAGTTCTTGGTTCGGCGAATGCCTGCAGTGCGGCTTGGGTAGTAAGCCATTTCAATGGTTAGCTTCCGAGTAGCCTCCCCGGCATCATTATCGTTGCTTGATATAATGCAGCTCCAGTACACGGCCACCAGGAAATAAAATGTAGAGGAAAAAAAGTAAAATGTTAATAATAACATGGTTAATATTCTATTTTAAAAAAACTGTATTCGTGAAGGTCTGCTGTGACAGCTAGTTTCACTCTATGTCACGTTAACTACATCCTGCATACTACATCTTGGTTATCATTATTTTATCACATCCAAGAATATTTTCCAGTGTTGTGAAGACAAATTCAAAAGCGTGGCATTCACAACAACTAAAAGGTCCTTCTCAACAAGTCAAATTTATTTGATTTATTCTCGTATTTTGCCTGCCTTGGTTCATCTTATAAGTAAATTGGCAAAGACTCATTCAAGAGGGAAAATAAATTGAGACAGCGGCCTCCAAAAACTAGTCATCTTGTGATTGTTGAGGAACTCACTCTACAATGGCGAGAGGAAATATTTTCCCCATAGCCTACAAGAATTAAATGCAGCTGACTCAGCAGCTCTGCCGTAGGAGGAAATGTGAAGAAAAGACCTCTTTATCATATGGTGACCACAGCGGCTTTGAGAAAGTCAGTGTTTTCTTGGGGCCGTCATTTTATTTGTGCAGTCAGTGTGTTTGAACTCATTGTGTGCTGCTAGTTAGTCACACGAAAAAAATAGATCAACTCCATTGTCAATCTAGATATGTACAGGTCTTTGCTTTAGCCACTTATTGTTTTCCTAAAGAAATATAAGTGGCAAATGTGCGTAAGGTTTTGGACTATTTGTAGTGCAACCCAAATTTCCTGGAAAAATATGCCTCGAGGGCCAAAACGTCACTTATGATGTCATGCTTGACATAAATCTTGCAAGACTTGAGCTCAGTAAGCAAGACACTACCATGTCTTGTCCTAACTTTGGAATGAAGTGTTTTTTTATGATGCACCAGGGCCAATTGAATACTTTTGTCACAAGTTTCACACATCCTGTCAGTGCATGTAATGAGCTCCTCTGGGTCATCCTCTGTCGGTGCTTTTCCATTTGAGACTCAGCCCCTGCCCCTCTGCTTTATCGAAAGACACGATTGCAGATTCTCTGCGATGCCTGCCATGGTCCGCTCATTCTAACACCTCTTAATGTTGACACGTGAGAGGCCAGTGCAGTGAGCTGGACTGAGAGGTCTTTCACATACAAGTCCCGTTTCCCAGTTTTCATTGCTCCACAGCAAATGGTTTGTTTGCATTCCTTAGCGTATTTCACTTTCCTGTTGGAATTAGGCAACTAGGGTCATGTTACCTTTTTGTTATTCTTTCTGAAGACACCAAGACTACACATTGCCGAACCCTGTTCGCTGGTCTCGGCCTTAATTGCAAAAAAAAAAAAAAAAAAAAAAGAATGCTCCCCTTGTTATAGCAATGATTTGTCATTTCTCCCTCCAGCCAAAAGCAAAGAACCTGAAAGAGTGACCGACGCAAAAGTCAACAGACGTGAGTTCATCATTACTCAATGGCACTACACATATATTGTTTATGAGCAATATATGAAAATAGGCTGCAAGAACTAATCGTACCTTCCAGTTTTTCCTTATTGTCCTTTTCAATGTTCTGTGAATCCCCCGGTCAAAGGTCTCGGCAGCCCTCACTCCCCATCACCGCCACTGAAGAACAACCATGCCATCCAGGAAGCTGCGGGGCCCAGCCATGTGGCCATCAGCGCCATCTCTGCCAACATGGACTCCTTCGCCCGCGGTCGCACGGCCATCCTCAAGAAGCAGCCCAGCCACATGGAAGCTGCGCACTTTGGTGATCTCGGTATGAACCCTGAATTCTTCTGCTGTTCATACTGCTTATCGATACTCTTTAAACTGAGCTCTGAGGTCTCATCTTGTGATTATTGGTTTGAAATCCCCCATTTTTGTTTAACTTGAGAGGTGTATTTTTGCAGAGTCAAAAAAAAAAAAATTATACCTATGTCTGTGTTGTCCAGTGAAAAGAATGGCACTGATTGATCTATGACTCTGTGATGTGGTGAATGGCTCGTGTGGAAAACATGGGCTGGGCAACACAGAGGTTGAAGAACCTGTACCACAGCCTATGCCACAAAATATAACAGAAACAGGCTGCAAAAAAAATAAGAGTTGTTGAGTGATTGATAAATGGGCGGTGATAGTATGCAGATAATTGAAGTGAAAATGTGAACTTTTGCCGAATGGTGAGCCAACCAATGAAGTCGAAGCAGCATTTCGCCTGCTGTTTTGATGTGACGGAAGGTTCCAAAAGACCTGGAATGACTAATAACCTCTCGCAATAATAAACGTGGCCTTGCGTTTGCTCTGTCGTCCTCATTCGGGCACATTCTTTTGATTTCATCACTTAAGAATGCCTGACGACATTCAAGCAATCGCTCGTCATTCACAACATAGAGTTTGGTGCTCGTATGTCATCTGTCCCGGGGCATGATAACAAAACATTCCATCTCACTATTTTCGAGTCCAGTGTGAGCTGCATAGTTACATGGAGCAGTGCACTCCAGTCGATTCTCTGGCCCACAAAAAAGCCGATCAAGCTTTCAGGAACTTCACAAAACACAATTACGTGTTCAGAAAGCAAGCTAAACGCAGGAAATGGATATTTATTATTAATTCCCCCGCCAACTCCTGCCCCTGAATTTTGGAAGCTGTAAAAATGTGCTGTAAGTAGATTAGTTCCTTTTCTAATCACTGCCTAAATGCAAGTCATAGCCTCATATGAGTGCCTGTCGAAAAATATTTAACTACTTGCTGTGAAAACTGAAAGTAGTAATGCCATGACTATATTCTTATGTTGCATTGCAAACCTGAAATTATACCACTAAGTCCAAAAAAAAAAAAAATACCCGTTTTGTCATTTTCTTGTTACAGACAAAATAATTTGTTAAACAAACACTAATTTTAATTCACACTAGTGAATGAAATACTGTACTTTCATCAATAAGAATATATTTATCATCGAAGTTTATTGATTTGAGCATTTCAATTTGGAAAAAGTCAAACTCACATTCTATCGATTCAGTCAAAATGCCTCCGACCACCAAGCCCCTTTTTGTTGACGTGTTTGTGTGTCTCAGGTCATTCCAGTGTGAACTATCAGCCCCAGGAGACCCGCTCCCGGCTCTCCAAGACCGTGGACCAAGTGCTTCGGGACAATGTGGCGATCCCCCATTACATGCGTTTTATGGAGCGTCATGGTGCCGACCACCTGGTTCGCTTCTGGCTGGAGGCTGAGAGTTTCCGCTCCACCAGCTGGTCGTGGGTCAGAGCGCACAGCCTCAACTCTGTCAAACACAGCTCCTTGGCTGAACCTGTCACCGGCTCCGGAGATGGCTCCGACTTGCCGGAGCTCCCCCAGCACAATTCCCATGACCTGGAATGGAACAGCGCAGGAGTCACGGCGCAGCCCGAGCAGCGGGACCCCTCCTGTACAGACGTAGGCCTGCAACCCGGCACCCCTCGAGCCGAAACTCCCAGCAGGCAGGCTCCGTCCAGGACGGGGACCCCTTCCAAAGGGCAGTCAAACATCAGCCTGCGAGATCTCTCCGAAAAACTCATGAGAAGTAAGCCTGATCACATTTATGTCTGCCCGTCTTTGAGATTTTTGTATGTCTTGCTATGGACATGGAAGGCTGCCACTTAGCAATTTTTCAACTCCTTTGTGGAATGACACACAAGATAACAGTCATCCACAAATAAATTGTTAAAAAAAAAAAAAAAAAAACTTCCATCCATCCAATTTCTAATCCCTTTATCCTCACGAGGCTCGCGGGTGTGCTGGAGCCTATCCCAGCTGCCTTTGGGCAGTAGGCGGGGGACACCCTGAACCGGTTGCCAGCCAATCGCAGGGCACACATAAACATACAACTATTCACACTCACACCCAGGAACAATTAAAGTTTTACATTAACCTGCCATGCATGTTTGTGGAATGTGGGAGGAAACCGGACTACCCGGAGAAAATTCTGAACACATGCCAAAGGATATTTATTCCATTATACACATGTTCACATTGGCTATGAAACACTGTTCCAGTGGACATTCAGGATCCCTTCAATGCATTTTGGCAGCACGGTGCAATTAGCGGTTAGCTTGAGTGCCTCGCAGCCAGCAGGTCTGATTTCAAATCTCTGTTGTGGCGTTGGCTTGTTCTCTCTGTGAATCTCTTGCTCGCCACCGTTTAGCTCTCGCATACCAAATACATGCTCTCTTGTTTTAGGTATCGAAAAAGATGCGGTTACCATCTTCACCAAGTACGTCTCCCCGGATGCTGTGAGGCCCATCCCAATCACAGAACAGATCCGAAATGACATAGTTGGTAAGATTGGAATGAATTCTTCGGAGTAGTCAAGATAACTTCTTACTCTGTTTCTGTTCTTTTTGTGTTTAGCTAAGATTTGCGGCGAGGATGGCATGGTGGACCCAAATTGCTTTGTCATCGCACAGTCGGTCGTCTTCACCATCTTAGAGCAACAGTAAGTCACCGGTGGAGTTAATAGTCACACAAGCCTGCGTGGTTCGAGTTTGGTGTGCACGATTAGAGTTTAACCAATTTCCCTTAATGTATTCCCAGATACTTTCTTGAATTCCTGCGGAGTCACCATTTCTGTAAATACCAGATTGAAGTGTTGACGAGTGGCTCCGTGTTCCTGGCTGACATCTTGTTCTGTGAGTCGGCTCTCTTCTACTTCTCTGAGGTGAGTCGGCCCCAAAGGTTCCCAAAACATCACGCTGTTGTCTGCCACAATAAACCTGTGCAAACCTCTCCGCGCATTCATCGCAGTTGGAATTTCTTGTTTCCTCCCGACATTCATCTTTGTGATAACAGATCATGTCTTGCACAACGTATTGCATCACTTCCTGGTTACTTTTTTGGGGTTTCGCATAGCAACACAAACTGACAAACTGTCACAGAGTGGAGGGTGCTGATTAAGTCTGTTCAGCGTCACTCAGTAAATGCTGTACATGAACCGCATCGACGACATTAGTGTGAGCATTATTTTTTATGACGACACTTTTTAAGAATTACTGACATCGTTTATAGCGCCAATAAAGTATTTTGGCAGCGATGACATAAAATCCCCTTCTGAATGCTCTTTAGAATCACCGTCTTTTGTCATGTTTAGATGACACAAAGGTCAGCTCCGCAAACACAAAACATTCCTTGTTAGTTATGAAGGGTGTTGTTATGGAAAGTTTCAATAAAATATTCTCTGCCCCCCCCCCACCCCCCCACCTCGCTCTATCTTTGCAGTACATGGAAAAGGAAGAGGCGATGAATGTACTGCAGTTCTGGCTCGCGGCTGACAACTTCCAAAACCAACTAGCAGCAAAGAAGGGCCAGTATGATGGCCAGGAGGCCCAAAATGACGCCATGATCCTTTACGACAAGTAGGTCTTGATGAAAACTGCTTATGAAAGCAATTTAATACACCTCCAGACGAAAAGTTTTATGTGTTTGCTTTATGAGAAATCATCTTGTTTATTTCTTAGGTATTTCTCACTGCAAGCTACAAACCCTCTGGGATTCGGCGACTCGGTACGCATGGAGATTGAGTCGAACATCTGCCGGGAGGGGGGCCCTCTGCCTGAATGCTTTACCACTCCACTTAGACAAGCCTGGACCACCATGGAGAAGGTACAGGAGAAGTCTGCTACATTTTGAATGGGGCTCCTCATATACTTGCACGAGCTACGGGAAGTCCAGGGATACATTATTAACCCACGTAGATCGTTTAAAAAGAAAAAATAACTGTTGTCGGTCAAGTACTCATTTTTGATATGTGCTGTCATATCCCAAAGACCAAAATAGTTAATACACCACATTTCTTATCTTGTTGAAATTGGTTTCTTGATGGCTGGGCAGGCACCCAGCCATCAAGCCAACTATTTGTAAGCAAGCAAATAAAGTGATTTTTTTTTCCCCTTGCTGTATCCTCTTAAACTCTTTCATTTCACAAGACATACTTGTACGTCTTTTTAAAATTAGGCCCCGCCTACCAAGGACGTACTTGTCTAAGTCTTTTTTTTGCATCATAGAGAGGAGGAGGGTCTGATGCAATCTGAGAATGAGAATAAGCCGTTTGCATTGTAAATCATGTAAAAAAGCGACCAACCAGTAGGTGGCAGTGGTGCCTCACGTGATTGAAATGCATGCTTTTACAAAAAGCTCTTTTTCTCCGTTTTTTTTGCCCAGGAATCGCCATTTTTATGAAACATTTTGTAATGCCGATTGATAAAGAATGGAAAAAGATGAAAGAGAGTCCCAACTTTATTTTGGTAGGCTCGATGTTTATAGAACATTAGAACCAAATATTCTGTGGGTCTTGCAAGGTCAGTCAAAATCCAGTAAAACGCTGGGATTGAGGGGGTTGCTCCAGTGAAAATGGCTGGGATTGAATGAGTTAAGAGCCCCCCCTTGTTACGCATGCGTTCAGGTGTATATGCCAGGCTTCCTGTCCAGTAACCTTTACTACAAGTACCTGAGTGACCTCCTCAATTCGGTGCGGGCGGACGAGTTTGTGAATGTCAACACTCCAGGTCAGGGCGCCGCGGCGGACAACGAGCAGCGCTCAAGTTCAAGTGTCAGCGAGGCCTCCTTGATGCAGGTGACCCCCACAAACCCTCACTCGTGTCCTCAAGCACTCTGGGGCGGGCCTGATATTTCATGACATTTAGAAATCAGACAATCTTTGCTCGTGCCAAAGAGGAACAATTTTTGTGTTTAAGGAGAGAGAAATGCAATGTCGCTTGTCGCGCTCTGACGTATTTTGAACACGGTATCTCCATGACAGTCCGGGGCCAAAAAGGCAGCGATAAAGATCTTGAAAAACTTCGATGAGGCCATCACGGTTGACGTGGCCAGTCTTGACCCCGAATCTTTGTACCAGAGGCCATACGCTGGGTGAGTGTCGTCGCTTAAATATTGTTATTATTCTACTACATTACATTGCTTATCTTACATGTTTTCTTAATATCGCTTTCCTGTCTTACCATTTCAATCCTGACCCGTACAGTGGGAAAAAAAACTGATAACTAAAACCACATAGAATCATTCCAAAACGGTCAATGCATAATGTTTTATTGTAAGGAATGCTTTAGGCCCTTTGCAGAAGTGTCCACACCCTAAAACTAATCCTTTATAAACTAGTTACATTGTCTTTAATTACAGTATTGAGTCTTTAAGACAATATTTTGACCATTCTTTAGGCTTACAAATTTCCAATTGGGTCGAGATCTCTGAATCGTAATCTGTGCTTTAAATCCGACACAAGTGGTTGTCTTTTGGTTAGCACCACTCCTTATTTTTGCCTTACTTGTCCTTCTCTTCAGAAAGATGACATTTGGGAGAGTGAATGAGTTGGGCCAATTTATCAGGGAGGCAGAACCAGAACCAGACGTGAAGAAATCCAAAGGTATCATGCACTCTTACTCAGGAAGAAATTTCATCTGTGCTGTAACATACAGCACATTTGACAATAAAGTTGTATCCAGTCCAATTTTCCTCCACCTCGCAAGGCATCTTACATGTAGTCAAAACGATGTTGCCTCCTTGTCCAACTCATCCTTTGTTCCAATTTAGGCTTCATGTTTTCACAAGCCATGAAGAAATGGGTCCAAGGTAACTCAAATGAGGTGAGACCACAGCAAAGCTTCTTCAAATGCACCTTGACATAACGTCGCATCTGTGACAAGGCACTTAATGAGACCGTAGCGTAGACTCGGATCTAAAAGATGAATGAAAGTTGATATCCGTAAAATCTTGATTGAAGGCTCAGGAGGAAATGGCCTGGCAGATAGCGAAAATGATTGTCAACGATGTTGTGCAGTCAAACCATGACAGTCCTGGCAAGTCCACTAAGGTATATATATATATTAAAAAAAAAAAAATCTCACTCAACATGTTCCACGACAGTTGAAATGATTTGTTTTGTACGTTCTCTCTTTTCTCTCCATGCAGTTGTGACCCCGTGAAGACTATCCCCCTGCAAATGCTGGCCAATTATACACATGGCTTACCGTGCAACGAACTGAAAGTACTGTACCTCATTGTTCCAACTCCATAACACTATGAAGGTGCGCAGTGGTCAGTTTAAGTGAAGCCCTTGCATCACATGACGGGGGCGTCTTTCCAATTCAGTCTGGTACCTTAAAGCAACCTCGCAGAAAGACAAAGCATGTCTACTAACGGTGCAAGCAAAACTGTCGCCGACTCTCGTTGCGTTGTCTTATGTCGGACCTCCGGAGGATGTCACGCAGACTGAATTCCGCACATTTCCTCATGACACACCTCCCCATGCCTTTTGTTTTTAATGACCATTCCTTGTTTTTAGAAGACGTTTTTCTTAAGCCAAATAACAGTTTGGAGCCCTTTTACATATGCACACACTCCCTTTAGTAGCCTGCCTGTCCAATGATGAATTATGTAAAGTGGAAATTTATTTGGAGAGGATCTGCAAATGACAATGAGAGAGAGGAAGACCTCTTGTGTTAAACATCTTTGGCACCTTTTATGAGCATAGAATAAAAAAAAACTCTTGTGCTGAATTCAAATGCTCCACTTGTTCTAAATGATATATATCGCTACATGTATATATGTATAATGTAGACTGGTTTCTCCCATATATAAATGTCAGTACTTTTTTTTATGGTGGCCGCTGTTTTGTTTTTGTTTTTTTTTCTCTCCTGTATGCATCTCAGAAACAACTGGACATTTGCTCAATGAATTAAACTTTTTTTTCTTTTGAGCCTTACTGAGGTGTGGAAAAGAACCAGAAAGGAGTTTTGGTACCATGTACCTCTGATGTTTTTCAATATGTATGTGCACCTAATCTAAATCTATTTAAATTGTTTGATTTAAATACATACGTTGTCAAAGGTTTTGTCTCTGCTCCTTTTATTGTATTTTTAAAAAAATCATAACACACTCCTAGGTTCACCAACATACAATGTTTCAAGGGTACGAATTTAGAAAAAGGTACATTTCAAACACTTTTTCAACCATTAAAGTGACTTGTAAACTGTACAAAATTTGAAAAAAAAAATTTTTTTTTTTCAGGAGGGGAAAACAACTGTCGTACATTTTTGTAGTCACAATTTACAACACGATCCATCATCCACAGAGAGGATCTTATTGTTGAAAGGTATCGGACAGGAGAAAAGTGAAAAAGAATTTCCAAGGTGTTATTAACATCCCTTGGAACACAGTGAAGACAGTCATCAACAAGTGGAGAAAATATCATGGTTTTCAAGAGCTTGATGTCCCCCCGAAATTGATGAAAAAACTAAGAAAACGAGTCAAGGGTGCTGCCTTGAAGCTGACCACATTTCAGGAGCTACAGCAATTTCTGGTAAGTACTGGTGTTAAGTTGCCCAACGTGACGACAATTGTACGTTCTTCATAGGGTTGCAAGATTAAGGCCCATCTGACCATGAAGATCATCCAAGCCAGGCTACATTTTGCAAAAAACATACTTGAAAACTCCAAACGCATTGAGTAAATGTGTTGCGGTCTGATTAAACCAAGGCTAGTCATTTTTTTTTGTTCCTGCACACATCTGTACTGTTTTCATGATACTGTAGTTGCTTGTGGAGGCTCTCAGTCGTACAGGAAAGTTCCATCGTAGAAAGGGTTCTGTCAGTCGTCATCTGTACCTGTGGGTAAAAAACAAAAAACAAAAAAGGACGTTTCGCTTCTCTCACAGAAGCTTCGTCAGCGGTAGACAACCCTGAAGTCTCCTCAGGGTTGTCTACCGCTGACGAAGCTTCTGTGAGAGAAGCGAAACGTCCTTTTTTGTTTTTTGTTTTTTACCCACAGGTACAGATGACGACTGACAGAACCCTTTCTACGATGATACTGTAGTAACAAATCTGTGATGTCTGTAGTTGTCCAGACGGGGGCGGTGTTGACCTCTAAATCAATAAGCAAATCCATTGATGGTTTCTAGCTGTACAATATGACCACTAAAAGCGAATTCATATACAGTACTTTATTTGTCGAGTCTCTTCTGACCTTTTAAAAACAGTACATATTAAACTATTTAGAAGGCATAGCCTACGTTACTGCCTTATTCTGAGATGAGTACTGTGAAAAACATCAAATATGAAAGAGTGTCAACAATTTTGCTCGAGTGTGTAACATTTAATTCGGTTTAAGAGTGTTTTTTTGGGGGGGGCCGGGGGGAACAACTGCTGTCAGGTAAGTTTAAATAGACTGTGTAAAATCCTATCAGAAACGGGATTTCCTTCAGAGTAAAAGCTAGATGCATGGATGAAATTATAACAAATAAATGCATAATATTGGGAAAGAGTCGCTGATGGTGTAGTCAGTTATACACTCGCCTGACTTATGTGCGGGCAATGTGCAATCGCTCCCCACTCAGTGACGATGTGGATGTGGGTGTGAATGGTTGTTGGTCTCAAACTCAAATATGTGCCCTACGACTGACTGGCGACCGGTTCAGGGTGTAGTCTGCCTTCCGCCCGAAGTCAGCTAGGATAGGCTCCAGCAACTCCCCGCCGACCCTGTTCCGAATAAGCAGTGTTGAAAAAGGAGGGGGTGGGGGGGATATTGGAAAAGGGAAAAAGAACTTAAATTACGTGGATATTCGCAATTTTGAAACAGACACTTTACCAGCACACACACGCACACACAAACAAACGTACACAAACTAACACACAATTATTGATTAGAAAGCACACGATGATAGCTTAATGTTATACAGACGATAGATAGATAAATAGATAGATAGATGGATAGGTAGATAGATCGATAGATTGATTGATTGATGTAATTTAAAACATATCGAGAACGTCGTATCGTATTAAAGTAGCTCTGGTTTAGTTTTATTTTGAAGATATCTTCCGGAAAAGCAATGTTGTGTGACCACATTTAATTGCCGTGGTCCGGGCGTAGTCTGGAAGGAACGCAAAGTGCACACGGTTTTCCACGCTTGGGCCGGACCGGACAGGGACGCCCAGGAGGCGGAGACCCACGGACTGGAGTGTCATTGGTGCTGAACGAGAGCGCTCAATCACCTGCGTGGAGGCACCACAGCTGCGCTCCCACTTGTGGGTGTGACAAACATTTCGTGCGCGCGGCGTGGGACACTGTATGACTTGGTTTTTTGTGCTGATACCATTTGGACATTTGGGGATTCGCCTCCCCGCTCAAGAAGCTGTTGACGCACAGAGACACGAACGGGCTCAGCGGGACTTCCACGGCGGATCGACTTCCGTGGATTGAGGATGTTTCGCAAATGTAGTGCACCGGAGCACAGGTAGACTTTGACTTTTGCGTCTGTGAGCTCCAAATGCATTTGCTCCTCCTGGGACGGGAGAAGAAAGAAGAAGAAGAAGCCGGGTGTGGAGTCAGTTTGTGTACGGGCTTTGCGCCCCACGTCGCCACCACCATGTTCAGCTGCGTGGGCTGCTTCTGGGTGCTCCTTTCCTCAGCTCTGGTCGCCGTGTGCAGTTTCAGTTTCATCTCTCCTGCGTGGATTGTGAAGGAGCAGCCGAGGACCACCAATCACCATCATCACCACCATCATTATCATCACAAGGAGTCCGTGAGCTTCGGCTTACTGTGGCACTGCTCCGAGTCTCTGGACCACATGTATCGCTGTTACACCTTTGGAGGGCTGGGCAAATTTGCTGAGATCCCGTCAAGTTCGTGGCAGGTAAGACATGAACGCGCACATCATCGTCATCATTATCGTCACCGTCACCGTCACGTGGGTCCGTGACAGAGAACACTATGAAAAACATTGCACTGGCAAAAGTGCAGTAGTTGGATTGATTTCATAGAGCAGCACAGTGATGTGGTAGTTTGCATATCAGCCTCACGGTGGATTTGGGGTTCGAATCTCAGCTGAGGCCTGTTTTCCCTGCGCTTTCGTGGCTTTTTTCTCGGTTTCATTCAACTTCCATGTGGGCATCTCGCGTTCACTTCCACTGAATGGATGAATGGTTGAATGAGTGGATGTCTAGATGTCAAAAATGGGAACAATGCAAACCCCTTACCAGACTGGCGACCTCTATCCTAGCCAATGTGGCACCCTGGGCTAGATGTTATTTTCCACCCTGATTTACATACCCCTACAAAAGAAAGCATATTTTAACATTGCCTTTAATTTACGTTTAAGATCACATCAAACGATTTAAAATATAAAGTTGAATCACAGATTTTTTTTTTTTATGACTCTCCGGTTACTGTCAAACAAATCCTGCAAGTGACTTGCTGTTGTGACACCGAAATGGACAAACCCAAGAGCATCTTGACCTCTCTTTTTCTCCCCTCTGTTTTTCTTTCCCTGTTCTCTGGATTGTTTTGGTCATGTTTACAAAGTTCTCTGGGGTCAAATTTTCCTACGGGACTCTGAATGGGATAAACACTATGGAAAACAGACTGTTGGATAAATTACTGCATCTAAAATCTATGCATCCTAGTAAAAAAGGAAAATGAATACTGAGTGCCGGTTAAAATTAACATATAAACAAACTGAAATACAGTTTCAAGTACCAACTTCAGTACAACAAGAAACCAGCACATTAACTCGCAAAAATGCCCGACTTTGACTCATACGAAAGTTTGGAGATGAGCGCTTTGGTTAAGCAGCAGATACTCCGACAACAACGGGATGACTGTTTGAACCCCTCTAGACTTGAACTCCTCAGTGCAAGTCTTTCTAAATAAAGAAGCGCTACGGTACTTACAACTCACCCCTGGAGCTATGATTTATGCATGAATGGATATTAGCATTTGAAAGAGAGTTGTTAATAAGCTGCTGCTTGAGTGACTGTAGTGAGAGTATTTGCAAACAGAAGCCAATGCAACACAGGTAAACAGGTGTACATTCAATGGGGGGGGGGGGTGAGAGACAGAGGTGAGGAGAGAGAGATATTCTTGGGTAAGAAACAAACTTGACAGGCTTCTGTTAAAATTATTTGACACTTGAGACTCGTCCACCTAGCGAGCAAAAAAAAAAAAAAAAAGCCAGCAATGGAGAGCGACTCCTTTGAAAAATGTTTCCTGGTGCCTAAACCCTTCCAAGCACTTGGAATGTAATTTCACCACTCAGTGAAGCAGAATAACTTGTAAGAAGGGAGCAAAGTCATGTAATAAATTTCACTTATGATTTCTTTATCTGGCCGCTTTTGTCTCGGCCTTTATGAAAATAAATGTTAACTGAAGAATAGGTTTGTTTCTGCTTTGTAAACCCATTGTCCAATCAGTAATATTATGCGTGTTTTTTTTTCTTTTGAATAACGACATCTCACTTTTGACAAACAGTGGACATAAAAAATATCAATAAGTTAATTTTCAATAATTCTGCCAACCATATGAGATTCATTTTTGTATCATATCATATTTTTTCATTTTGTCATATCAGAAGCAATTGATGCAAAATGGCTACTTGGCTGAAATGAGCAGAGGGCCTTTTGATTCAGTCCAAACAAGTTTGCTTCCAAAAGAAGACAAATATGACAAAACTACCCTGCACCTTTGACAGGTGCCACTCAACCAACAGGGCACAGACGGATAAACTTTCACACTGACTGAGAGTCTTTCAATAATCAAACGATGAAACCACAATCCGAAAAGCATATTTGGACATAGTGTAATGATTAAATTCTGAATCAATCAATCAATCAAATTATTACAGTTATTTATATACACTAAAGTCGTACACGTATGAACGAGCAGAAAATGATGGAGTGATGGCTTGAGTAGCAACAGATTGACGTACATGGTAGTCTCTCGAGAAATTATTCTGCCCCCAGTGATTGTATTACAATGCAGTGCAGTGCCCCTAGTGGTGGAAGTAGTTAAAACCACAACCCATTGTCCAATCAGTAATATTATGCGTGTTTTTTTTTC